ACATAAGCAGAATTTTCTGAAGTTTGTGAATTGAATCACTATCCAAGAATGATCTTTTGGTCATTCAAAAATGTCTACTTTCCCACAGAGTTGTAAGGGACACTGCTCTCCAACTGAAATAGAATTCAATAACACCTACCAACATGTTGCTTCTAAGATTATTAGCATGATCCATCAAATTCTGAGATCTGCTTCTCTTTGCAGCTCCTTTGCAGTTTCTTAATAATGCTTTTAAGAGTTTTTTATGTGCCTCACTGTGTCTTGCCTTGCTATTTTTATTCTTTCTGTGTTTGTCTGTGTGTGTGTGTGTGCTTTGTGGTGTTGGTGCCCCCAGTGTCTCCTGTTTGTATTCCAACATAGTTTTTTCTGCAAATGGCAATAAATTGATTCTGATTCAGATATCATGCTTTCCAAAATCAAATAATGCAATTCAAATGACACCATAAATAGAGAAGCGACAGTGCCCACTGACTGATAAATTGCATTATTGGATCCCCCCCTCTCTCTCTCTCCCCTGCTCCTTCTGCCACAGTAGCTGAAGCCTACTGTACCATATCAAAAACAGTCTATAGTTGTGACTGCAGGCTGCACACAGCTCTGTACGGGCCATATGTTTCAAAGACACCAACCACGAGACAGAAACGCACAGAGCCAACAGAACGTATAGATGCATGATTTAGTTATGAGGAAAAACCTATAGGAAATCATTAACATTACATTTTCAAAGAGACTGCGAAACATACTTACACTTCCTTGGGTGATTTAAGACCCTAGCAACTGCAAGTTCCCCGCGAGACTGTGGGCCAATGTAGATTTATAACCGCACGGCTAATGGCCAGTGTGGTCTGCAGTGGCTTGCTTTACACATTAAGTAGTCTGGTAACAGTTCTAGTGGATGAAAATAAACACAGAAAGCCCACTTAAGTTAATGCATGGTGTACTTCCAGTTGCATTATTTCATTATTTTAATTCTCGGAGGGTAATGGGCTCGAACCATTGCAATCATAGCGCGGCAGTGTTATGCTTGTCAATGATCCGTGGCAAATTAATTAGAGCCTTCTCTGTTTGTAAACTTGTCCTTTCTGTCAGTGGCTGTAAAGCGAGACTGGTGAAAACAGAAATCGTGAGCAATCATTTGTTATTTTCTGCGCTTCACTGGTGAGAGTATGTCAACACCAACAGCCAATAGGGGCACAGGGTGAGGTCGTCCACAAACATTTCAAAAAAGCTTTCTTCTATTTTAATGCACAGGCTTGGGGACAGTTCAAACGAGAATTCCCAGCTAATTAGTTGACATTTGTGGCAACATTGTTATTTTTGGCCCAGATAGCCATGGGTGTGATACATGAATGTGGCACAAAAATATTGTTTCACTGCCAATATGTCCTTTCTATTGATAACTAAACATTCCTGATTCATTTGATCTGTGTGGTGACAGGTTCTGCAATATTGGGTACAGAGAAGAGCTATAATGTCTCTTACAAACACAATTACAAGAAAAAGGCAAAAGAAAACATGCACGCAAGGATCTATTTAACAAAAATAATTAGAATGTGTCAAACTTTAGAGCAAATTGATGAATGATGCACGAGCAGATACAATGGAAATAAACCACTACATTTCAATATTCCAGGTTTTTATCAGGTAAAGCCTATATCAACAAACTATACATGTAATAAAAGTCCGACCTGTTTGAATATTGCTCTGAATTTACATTTTCAGATGACACTCTAGTCTCAGAGAGCGTTGCACACAGCTGGATTTGGTTTTGCACGCTTCAGCCCACACGTGTGTGTTTGTGAGTTGGTGTGGATCCAGGGCAAGAACACTGATATGTGATTTTTGGGTTAAGTGAAGAGTGAATGTCTGCAGGGGAATCAGTGCATCTGTGTGTTCTGTGCTGAAAGCTCCAGAGGGCCCTGGGGCCCCAGGACAACCCCCTTTCACAAATGGCACAGACGTACTCTGGAGTTGTGGAGCTGTGGACGAGATGTCCTATTGACCAACATTCATCTCACTGTGGGATTGCATTTTCTACATACATTAGACCTTTGGGATTATTTAGTATTAAACTAGAACAGAAATAGATACTTATTGTTCACTCTATTTTACAATATTGTTCTAAAACAGCGTAATAGTTCAGTTTAGTTTAGAGCTTATTGAACAGGGACCATGTATAAAAGCATTAGTCTTTACAAAAGAAGAGATGATTAGCTGCTACAACAAACTCTTCATGGGTTTTCTTTTACTCTAATTGCAATTAAATTTTCATTCAGTTCAAATGCAAATTATGCATTGGCTCAAAGCATCAAAAGCACCATCACTTTGCCTGGGTCTCAAGTTTATAACGTGAATTGTATTCATTTATTTAACCACTTAAATTGTTGTCCTGTTGGGTCCCTCTTTTGTTTCAATTTGTGACAAATTATGCAATATAATAAGGACATAATGTATTAGCAAACTGTCCATCTATCTTGCAGCAGTTATGTCCGGTCTCCAGCGTAAGGCATGTGGTGATGGTTTTTGGAGTTATTAAATAATACGTAAAGGGTGGAGCACATGTGAAGTAACAGTGGGAGGTGATACTCTGATGCTGTTAAGACTAAAGATATGTACATACCAAGCAGTGGAATATAATGCCTTGAACAGAGAAGATGCAGTATATGGCTGCATTGTTAATTGCAATTGAATCACAAAGACTGCAGATATTTAAGTTTGATGCAAAAAAGAACAGGACAAAAAATAGGTAAACAAAATCTACTTGCATTAGGGAACATTTCTCTTTATTTAATTTTGAAGATTCCTAAATGGAACAAGAAAGTATCTTTTGTCTTGTCTAGCATTTTAATAATTTAACTGTCACAATGTGAGGTCTCAGGTGTCACTCACAGACTGTGTGTGTGTGCTAGAGGTGGACTGAGCAGGTGCTGATGTCACCCATAGTGTTTGCAGAGTGTGGAAGAAGCCGAATTGAGCATAAGCTAACTGGAGCCAATATCGTTATGTAGGTATTTGTTCCAACTGCTTAAACTTCATGCCGTATCAGAGGCAGATGTGTTGCTAAGGTGGTTGGTTCGGCAGGCTGGATTTACCCCGTGAAAAAAGGCATCTGATTGGTCAATCATTATTGGGCTTGTATCTAGATAAACAAAGCAATAAAAAACAATAAACCAAATTAAAAAAACTAGGATCATAGAAACCCTTAAGTGTGACAAAATGGTTACTTTTGTGCATTGGACCCAGAGCAGCACTAAAAAAAGTAGTATGTAGATTTAACATTTTTGAAAAAGAAAAATACTTTTTACTTGCCATGTAAAGTCCTATTGTAAATATATTTATACTTCATGAAAATGTAATCAGATTTTTGTTTTCTTCATAATGTTGAATGAATTGACATGTATTGGCATGGTTTAATAGTGCATTCAAAAGTGACTATTGACCTGTCTGTTCTCTGCATTCACATTCAGTGGTTTTGAGTGTTTGTTCATGTAAATCCGTGTACAGACTGTGATCTGAAATATTTTATTAGGTCAACTGCACATAGAGGGCTCCTGTAAGTGTATATTCCTTCACTCTTGAGAAAAAATTCACTTGTGCATGAAAAAAGAGTGCTATGACTGATCAGATTAACTGGATGTCTTGAACCTTTGGTTATGAATAGGACAAACATTCAAAACCCACACAATGAAGACAACAGGCTAAAAATAGAAAATGAATGACTGAGACTCTCTTAGAAGCCAGAAATGTGGTGCCACTCCTGCTATTGTGATTTCATGGGTGCAGCCCTGATACTGCTCCTCACATCAAATGCCACTTTGTCCTTTTCTGTGAGGTCCCTGCTGAGCCATGCTACTTTTCAATGTAATGACGTCACACAGGCACAGATTCATCCATTTTGATTGCTGTGCACAAAGCAATGAATAAGCAAAATGTGAAAGAACTATTGACGGCCAGTTAAGTCATTAATGTAAGACAAATAAGGACGTTTTTAGAATTGAGTGAGTGGGAGCACTTTGAAACCAGATGTCAGCTTGTTCAATAATTGCGACTGATTGCCATACAAGTGAGTGTGTGTGTGTGTGGTTGTTGCGTGTGTGTGTGTGGTTATTGCGTGTGTGTGTGTGTGTGTGTTTGTTTGGTTGCCTTCAGGGCCAGGTGAGAGGCTGTCTCCAACAGCAAGTGTTTAAGCGACAGTCTTTCCTGCAGAGTGAGGTGACATCCTATATCTCCCGAAAGGTGCTTTAACCGAAACCTTTAATCCCCCCAGAAAAGAGCCCAACATGACATGCTCTGCTGCTCAAAAGCCATGGAAAGTCTGACTGTGACATTTAAAGATGGGTAAATATTACTAATAACCCTGCAATTCATTACTTTTCATTTCTACCATTTTGAAATAGAAATGACCCTAAAAGGACCACCTAACTCCGCATTCAATTATGGATAGGGCCATTAATACAAATATCAGGAACCTACATGAATGATAGAACCGGGTTAGACTACCAGTCATTTTACCCCAACCCATCAATTATTTTCAATAACCACTGCCCAGTAACTTATAATGTTCTTCCACCAGACCATCAGCCATACCCATGTGTATTTCTATGATATATATATTTTTTTTAAACAGTCAATTTAAATGGTCTATGAGAACCCAGACTGGTACCTTTAAACAGCACTTTGAAGAAACTGTATTCTTACCTAACTCATTGTTGCACTTGAATAAAGGCTGTTGTCTGCACTCTCAATATGAACGAAACCAGAGCTCAGTTTAAAGTCAAAGCACTCCCTAAGAAGATTCAGGGATATCAAGTACCATCAGATCTACGCATTACACCTAATATCATTAATAGCATTAAATAGTATATAGCAACAAGTTCTATGGATCTAAAGTGCTTCTGTAATGGTCCTATATGAAGATTGAGCCAAAACAGGGCAAAAATGCAGAATATATGTCCTGAAATAATCAAATGGAACTCTCATTGAGTCCATATGCCACAGTTTTAGAAAGACTGCAAAGAGACAGTACACAAACAAAGGAAACTCAAGATAAGCATCAACATTACCTCCAAGTAGGGCACAACTTTGCAGGTGAACTCTCCCAACAGCCAGGACTTGGTCAGTTCATGGAAAACCACCATGGGAAGACAGAACAAGATGAGAACAAAATCCCACACGGCCAAATTAGCCAAGAGGGAGTTGGAGATGCTCTTCATGTAGTAATTCTGACACACAATACACAGGATAGCGATGTTCCCTGCTATCCCCACGAGAAATATCACTCCAGAGACACACGTGATCGCGTATGCCCCGAACGTCTCGCTGGTCACGGGCCAAAACGGGTTCTTGATCTCGTCCACGAAATCCAGGGAACTCGGGGGCGTCATAGGGGTCGCGTCCCAAGGGTTTTCCTCACCCCTGAACGTGTAGAAGTAGTCTGTCCTCCTTGTGTACATGTCAAAGGGCAGATCCGTGGACGTAAGCGCCACTGGTTTGGGCATGGGCTCCCAAAACGCGGAGAGCGCCTGTGCTTGGATTATTTTTTCGCTTTTGTTTCGGTGAGTCTTCCCCCTTTTAGACGCTGCTTTCTTATGCCCATCTTCTTTGGAGACGCTTTTACGCCCGTCGCCCCCCACCTCCTCCACGCGTACTGAAGAGGGCTTAGGCGCATTGTAGTGTCCACCTGCTGCTGGAGCACTAAGCCCACCATTCAACTTTATCCTCTTGTTATTGTTACGCTGTTGACGCGTTAGGTCCCAGTGCGCGTCTTGAGCGCTCGTCACTGTCCTATTCAAGTTATTGTTGCCGCTATTGCGCGCGGTCTTTCTCGCCTCCTTTACCACTCTCCCCCCCGGGTGCGTAAAGTTGTGTGACGCTTTGCCACCACCCGCTGCTCCTGCACCTGTGGCGTGGTGCTCCCGTGACTTGGTATTAGGGTGGCTCTCCCTTGAGGTCCAGTGGAAAGTTCTCGCCAAGTGCGCGCCCGTTTTGTCGCCTGTTTTACCTTGCGTTTCACCATCGCTCCACAGGGACAGAGAGGCGTGCGTAAAGGCTAATAAGACAAGTAACGTCCTGAGAGGCATGGTGTGGGTGTGTGTGGGGGGTTAACAAATAACGCCTCAAATCCAGTCTTTACAAGTGCATCCTCCTGCTCTGCGTCAGTCTACACCCATGTTCCAAAACGGCGCAGCGTTCTCAACTCCTTTGCTGCAGAAAACTTAAAAATCCCACTCGTGCAATGCAGCGGTTTTCTCGGCGAATGGAAAACGGTTGCATCCATCCGCGTTGTTTCACATACAGGGCGTAGAAATCAAATCTGCTGTTATGAAAAGGTGAATATTCTCCCAAGCAACCAAGCAAATCCGTCTCCACTTTGCACATTTAGTTCTGAAGGTGGTGGCGTCAATGCAGCGACTGGAGCTGGCTGATGCACGCTGTGGAGAGGGGAAAGTGACACGGGATGAGAGGAGAGAGAGAGGGAGAGAGAGAGAGAGAGATGTGTGTGTGGAGAGAGGGACGCGTCCAGCACTCTCTCTGTCGGCGCCTTGTATAGTGACTCCCCCTCGCTCCTCTTGTTCGGATGTGGGAGCGCGCAAAAGGAAAATGGACTCCCCTGGCGGCTAACCCCGATCTGTCACTCTCCATCCATCACGGAGCATCCACAACAGCCCCGCAGCCACTACTACCACTATGCCCCATCCCGAAGGCTAACGATAGACACACAACCACGCCCGGTGCGCAAACCGGGCACGGAGGTGGCACGTTTGGCACACAGGTGGCGCTGTGATTGCACTGCGTGAGCCCCGCGTAACGCCCATGTTTACGGTGGGAATATGAGTGGTGGGAGAGCAAGGATGGAACGATATGATGTGTGGTGAGACGGTATAGCTTACTGGGGGAAGTTAAAGCTGAGGTACCTAACTTTAAAACCACAAAAGGGAACTATGTCATAAAATCCATTTCCATAGTTCTTAGCTTTTTTCTATCTCTAGTTTTCGCTTGTTTGTATTGGCCACATCCTTTAGTTCAGCGACTTTAGAAAGTAAAGTGCTAAACCCTTACTCAGCTCTCAACCAGTTAAAAAATCCGGTGACGATTATATTCAGATCCAGATTCAGTTATGTTAAACTGTCATCTAAGGTTTTGGCTGACAATTTACCATGGAAATCAAATGTGAAAATAAGTATATTTTACCTGACTACGTGCTGTGATTGATATATTGTTCAATGATACTGCCTTAACTCACCTAATGCTTGTGTGAAAGTAACATAAAACCGTAATCATTCATTGATTCATTCTCAACCCCTTTATCATTCCATTTCTGGGTAGCAATGAGAGCTGCGACCCAATGCTCAAAGCACCAGTCCCTCGCTGATCCTCCTGCAGGTGGTGGGTCCACGGGAAGATGGCTGCTCTGTTAACGGTGACACAGCTTTGGTCTTTCAGCTGGGACTTCAGGCAACATGGGGTTAAGTGTCTTGCCCAAGGACACAACGACAGCAGACATGAGAGGGGCAGTTGGAGTAGGTCTTGTGGGGGGATCAAACCTACAACCTTCAGGCCCAAAGATCAATGCGCTACCAACTGAGCCGCTGTCAACCCCCCCCCCCAAAAAAAATAAAACATGTTTTACCAATGTAAAATGAATCCATAAACATTATTACAGAAAAGAGCCGTTTGAAAAATACACAAAGCTGCATTTCGCGAGCATCAAAGTGAAACTGAAACTCAAACAGAATTGCAGACGTTATGGGTCATGTTCAAAGATAGAAACACAGCTCTCCCAGACGACATATAGATGTGTTTTCTTTTTTTCATTAGAGGAAGAAAATCGCAGAAGGTTTGACTTTAAACATCTGTTTGCTTGAACAACATTACAACAAATGTGCTTTTGGTGTAAAACTGGAAAATTTGTCATATATTTTTTCCATTCAGAAGGTTGTATTAAGGATATACGATATGAATCAAATAAACTTCATGAATGAGAATTGTATACAATTGTGAATGTTTTTTTATATAGTCTATGGTGATAGAGTATGTTTGAATCAGAGAAAATAATCTTATCAGCTTGTTTCCATTCATCTAAATATTGTAATCATGTATTATGACTACAAATTTCACATATCGTTTAATGTAACAATGTAATGAACAAGCATTTTCATAAACAGTAAATACCAGAGGTGTGGACTCGAGTCATGTGACTTGGACTCGAGTCAGACTCGAGTCATGATTTTGATGACTTTAGACTCGACTTGACCAAATGTAAAAAGACTTGCAACTCGACTTGGACTTTAACATCAATGACTCTGACTTTCACTTGGACTTGCGCCAATTGACTTGCAAAGACTTGCGTAACCCGGGCCATTTTTACCTTTCTCCGCATCTCTCTTTCTATCTATGCCGTCTCTGAAGAAACAAAGCCTCGCGGTAGTTGTAGCGCTCGCGAGAGAGTTCGAACGTGAGTTCCCCGCAGTTCGCGCAGCAACACTTCCCTAAACAAGCGCACTGCATTCACCGGTGGGTGTGTTGTCTAGGGGAGCTGGAAATGAGCGAGCTGCAGGTATTTATCGCGACCTAACGTCATATTTTGTTCTACAAACCGTAATTGATATGCTTTCACTACAGGCGCCTCATACAATTGAATCGACGCAGTTGTCACACTGTGTGCCGTGTTTTAAAGAGGAACTGGTGAGTCAAACTAGCGCTAGCCTGCGCTGCTCTGTTAGCTATTTCTTATATTTTTCTGTGTGGGCGCCGAGGCCTATTATTATGAGTATGTTTTTGCTGTGCTCCTCCTGCTAAAGTTTGCATACATTAGATAGTTGTTTTGATTATGTGCACTAAGCTAGATTAATATTTGCACTATTGTTTATGGTGCATTGATATGAGAATCAGTGCTTTGACTGATTTGAATTAATTTATATGAGACATTTTATTATGTAATGATATATTGGTAATTATGATATGATATGATATGAGATATTACTAATGCTGGTCCAGTTCATACAGGCCAGGGTCCTTCCCCTCCATTGGTCCCTTCAGTCCTTTGGAACAATAACCACTACGGACATTAAACTGATTATATAGATACAGGTCCTAGCCCAATACTCATATTCATATATGCTGCACTGCTGCACTTGCTACTTCCCATTAAAAACCCCAAAGATAAAAAGTATGTTGACACGGACTGCTCTGATTTTATGTGTGGTCTGTGCATGTGTAACTGAGCCTGCATCTGGCACAACATCCAATTAGATCACGTAGATAGTTTTGATTTACCAGCAGCCAACGACATGGAACAAACTGTTAGTCCATGGGTCAGAGACCAACGAGAATGCACCAGCAAAATGATTCCTACCATTATTTTGTTTGCCTACAAAAGTACGTGGAGACCAACAAGAAACAAATCGCGGTCAAAAAGACTCGAGAGGACTCGAAAGTCAAACCGTAGGACTTGGGACTGACTTGAGATTTGTTGGCCTTTGACTTGGACTCAACTCGGGACTTGCCTGTCTTGACTCGTGACTTGACTCGGGACTTGAGGGCAATGAATTGAGACTGACTTGTGACTTGCTAAACAATGACTTTGTCCCACCTCTGGTAAATACAGAACATACCATGCATCACATAACATGACGTACCAACCGGAACACAGACCACATGTATGGTAATGACGTATTACACACTAACAATGTTCATATACAGAAGGCACACATGTAGACAAAGGCACTATCATTTGTTTTTTATGTTATTAGTATGTTGAAAAAGGATTCCAAGAATCTCCTCGTGCAGTGGCAAAAACCCACAGGGATAAAAAGAGAAATCTTGAAGATAACCACAGGGACAGATGGGTCGACTCTCATGGACAGACATAGTGTGGATCTGGGACTGAGATCAGAAAAGTGTTATTTGGGGGATAGATATATTACAATATAGTCTTTTGTTTTATCTATTTATACTTGTATTTATTTCCATCATAATAACAAAATGTCATGACATTTTCACAGTTATAAGAAAAAAGTGTGATTTTCAAAATTATTGTCAATAAAAGTTAATTCAATTAACCCATTATGGTTTCCTCAACTTCAATTTGTTAGATCATCATTGAGTCATTATCTACTGGAAGATTGGAATTGAAACATCACTTGGGTAAAGGCCTATCATTAAAAAAATAGGGGTAAAAAAAACAACACAAAAACACATTATTCTTGTTATTAGTGACCTACATCTGAGTGAACACTTTTACACACAGACGTGAATGGAAAGAGACAGATTTGATATTGGCCGACTCTGATTTCAGTAGAAACTCTGATATACCAATACATCCATTATTGATCCTACATGTTGTCTCATCCCCTTACTGTGAACGAACTGTAGTAAACCTTTGAATCTCTCCATTCACTGTCTCATATTTACCCCACGTTTTACAACCTTGCTCTGCATTTGAACATGATCTTTTTTTGGATTGATTTTTTTTGGCTGAGTATTAAGGCTATGAGCATTGATTGCGGTTTGGTCTTCTCTGTCTGCATCAATAACAGCACCATCTCAAACCCCTCCCACAACCCACCCTAAAACTATTAGCCCAGTCAATCACTATAGTGACTGCTCTGACTTTAAACAGAAATATTCTGCATTACTCTTGCACATTAAATAGGATGATAAGACTATAATACTTTGCCTATTGGTGCTTTATTTTATACTACAGTGGAAATATCAAAGGTTGTATGTTGTAAGCACATTTAATATAAGAAGCCACATATTTGCTAATGTATATGGTTTCTGTACCTTTCTAATAAATGAGCAAAGGGCAATGAGCATTTATGGACATTGGTCATTTTCCCCTGCGAACCAATGGCAACTACACATGTGTTTGATATTACTGCATTTCCTGTGTTGTTTCATTCTCTGATCTGTGTCGGTGTATTGGCAACTTTTTCAATACACCGACACCACCACAAAACTTTCTCCACCGACTTCCGCTGATGTCTGCTGTCGTTGTGTCCTCGGGCAAGACACTTAACCTCTTGGATCACCAGGTGCCACAGCGGGGCGGCTGCGGCTGTAAAGTGCCACAGTGTCT